CTTTTTCCCCCCTCCAACCCAGCTTAAATATACGCTCCAAGCTTGGTGGTGTTTCATTCTTCACCTGAGGACGGCTGCTTGCGTTGTGGCCGAAACGTCGTGAGAATTATTTTATTATGTTTTATTTTTATTATTTTATTACTTCCCTTCTACGTGACTTTACCGAAAGAACCAAGAAGATGGACTTTCTGCCTGTTGAGTGCCTTATTTGGATATTTTGTGGGCGTTCTAGTATGCAAGCAATATTAAATTGCTCAAGAAAAGTAGATAAATATGCCAAGTTTGGTCCTCCTGAAGCCATTTTCAGATCCCGTGATGATTTCCTGAGCAAACTATAATCGTATCTGAGCCAGATCTCATCAATCTATCGTGGATATGATGCCATTTTATTCGTAAAAAAAATCATAAGCTTCTCCCGACCTGTATTTCTCTTTGATCAGTGTAGCATTTCAACCTATTCTCGAATTAGTTCAAGGGTCCTTGTCAGATATCACTTGTCAAATTCATTACAAAGTGACAATGATGGTACCTATTTTCTTGAATGATCCCCAGATACAGTATATACAATGTTAACTTGACCTTTATCGGCCAGGTGGTGTAACAATGGATGATTCAGGCCCTTTTGCTGGATTGCTTGATTGTATCATAGCACAACGGGCAACATACGTGCATGTTGAGTACAATGGCGACATTGGCATTATCTGGCGAATTGATTTTAATGCTGCAGACACTGTCCTCTCGCATGTATCCTAATGAGATACAGGTGATACCTGGGGATACATAGACCACGAAGAAGTCAGCTTTGGGCCAGGTTAAGTGCAGGTTATAAGGTACCGTCTCCACAAGGTTCCTGTCAAGAGCCCTCAAGGGAGGTCAATACCCCCAGAGGGTTGTTACAGTTTCCTCTCCAGCCCGGCAGATTAAGGCTCAGACCCTTTGTAAGGTCTCCTTAGGGCCATTTGAGTGCACGGTGAACAGCGGACACAGCGGCTCTGCTTGCCTTTTCATTGCAATTAACACCCAAGGTTCCATGCGTGGGTATTCCAGTTATCGTTTGCAAATTGTCCAAAAAGGAAGAAAACATAATAGGCCACAGATTTGATCTATGTGCTAAGGAGGAGGAACAACATTTGAAGTGACGCCTATTATATGTTCTTTTCTATTTTAGGGCAATGCCATTAACGAATGTGTGTGTTGAGGTTTTTTTTATTGTGCCTGTGGACTACTGCAAATGCGGCATCACAAACATGTTTTAAACTTTGCAGAGATATAATGGAAATATCAAAAATGTAATCCGTCATATTCAGCAATAAAAGGTTTGCATGACTGGGTAATTACACATTTGCATTTATGTTGAGTACTTATCTTCTATTTTATATATTTGCACATGTCGTTGTATGTACATTGAACTTATTATTTTATTGCAAGTGTAAATGGATAATTATGATAGACGGGACTTAAAAGTAAGCCTATTAACTTAAATAAAAATCAGTGTGTATCATTTCCTACAGTATCTTCTCATAAATATGAAGTCATGTTTTCCCACTTAACATATGGTATCGAAGCCGAGGTTATATTTAATACAAGAATGTAATTTGACGTTTACAATTGCAGCAAAAATCTTGTCGATAATGGCATAAGCACCTCTGATTAGCATGGTTGGCTACGTACGGTGCGAAAGAAGTTAAACTACATACTTAAGGAAACTGAAACTCAGTTTTGTCAAACTTAATTTCACAAGTTGAATCAAGTAGCAAGAGCGATAGAACTTAATAGGTTTGAGAGACCGATGTTTATACCACAAATTAGTCACGAAAACCTTCTTAAGCTGTTGGGGGGAAGAACGTGTCATCACACAACATGATTTTCTTTAATTAATTTCACAACGGCCAACTCGTTAAAACATTTTTCTTCGCATCTTACGACCACCACGACTCTTTCCACCAAACTCGCGGGCGTAGATATATCTTTTTCCCACCGCGGAAGAAAAGAACACATGTTCACGAAAGTCTGCTGTGCGTATAGTTAGCAGAGATCTCATTGAAATCCCTCGGACGGAGGGAGCACCAGCCTCTCAAAATAAGCCCTCTCCATACGGGGTGGGTGGAGGGGGGCCCCGAGGAGACGGCGGCTGAAAAGATCGCCCCTTTCTGTCCCCCACACCTGCGTCTTTCACCGCCTCCGACTGTTTACAGATTGTCACAAGGAATTATTCTTCCCATTACGAGGCGTCAGCATTCGCCGCACCGGGGTCCGGCAAGGCGCTCTTGTTTGGCCGGGTAATTGCACATTCACGCCGTATTGAGCAGCCCATGAAAGGCTGCGACCGCCGCATGAACTCCCCCCACCACCACCACCACCACCCCCACCAGCATTTTTGTATTCAGCAACGAAACACAAAAAAAAGAGGGGAGAAGCGAAGGGTTGTGGGAGGTATACGTATGGATGGATGGATGGGGGGGCATTGGCCGTCTTGGGTTGATGGGGGCCGGGTGGGGTGGCGAGGAGGGGTCGGGGGGGGGGTGCAGGTGTTCGCTTGCCCCCCTGTAGAGGTGGAATAACTAAGAGGGTACCCATTGTAGGCCGGCAGAGTGTACCCAAGATGACACGCCGAGGCGGGAGTGATTGGGCAGTGGTGGGGGGAGAGATGCTATTGTTTACTTGTTAACTTGTGTGATTGTTACATTTGTTGTGTGTGTCTTTCATCCACGGCAATATTTACATACAGCACTTGCAAATTATAGATTGGCGTTGTTAAGCGGATCATATAATAAAGTTTTAAAGAAAAAATAATTACACCGTTGTATGTTTGTATGCTAAGAACAATATATATACATAATTTTTAATTAGTTTCCATCAAATAGGTTAGGAAGTGACTGTGTATGATTCATAACTGTAGCTGTTATTAGTTTGGGTACATAATGCCCCTTGTTCAGCCAGAAATCCTCAATTAGTCTGAAGATTTGTTTTCAATCTGATGTATGCGTAATATCATGAAAGTTTATTTGTCTTTTTGGAACAATTTTTTTTAGTTAAACTATGAATACCAAACATTTTTAATACAGCTTATAAATTGCAATTGGACACTGACAATGTGTGATATACTCACGTGAGACATATACTGTTTTCCTACACATCTTTTAGTGTTAATCTATTTTAATTAACGTCTTTCAAATCCAGCAGTGGGCAACACGTAGCATCTAGGTCACGTCCTTAAAGAGAAACGTTTCGCAGCCTGAACTTGCACAGTCGCTTACTGTGGAACCAAGGACCGCTTTTACTTCACAACTTGGACAACGGGCACTGTGTGTGCTGGCCCTCTTGGTGGCATCTGAAACGGGACGCAATCGTTATGACTGAAGAGGCTTGGCAGGCGTTTGAGAGAAGTGTTTGGAGGATGGGGGGAAAGGGGGTGACTGGGGTGAAGAGAGCGGAGGGGTTGGCTGAGCGATTCTAGAAATAATAAGGCTCTGGGGGTCTCAAAATTCACACGCTCTTGAAAGGCGGGTTTAAAACGATCATTATTTAATTGTTCCATGAAAGTAAGGGGAGAGAGGGGGGGTTTACGTGCAAACGAAAGGCGTAATTCTTGGCCGAGTGTGGCGTCCACTGATCTGGAAATACAATCATGCTCTCTCTATCTGTGCACATTCATTAAAAAAAACAACTAACATTGATACTAAATTGATGATAATTTTGAAGGTGAATGATAGCCTGCATGGCTTGTTTAACTAAGAGCTTGGGTTAAGGTTATACCATACAATAACAGAGCCATTGACCCTATAATTGCAAACAATAGGTTTTTGATTTACAGAGTGAACAATAAATAATGAAAAAGGCCAGCCAAAACTATTAACAATCACCCCAAACTCTTAACTTTTCACATACCACAGTTCTAATTTAATTATATACTGTACACTGCTTTAAAAAAACTAACTTACGTTCACTGTATATATTTGAATTCACGATGTAACCCATATTTTTTATGTTATGGAGGATACTCTTTGTTTTTATTCGGTAAAGTCACGTAGGTAAAATACAATTAAATTAAATAAAAATGAAAATGTTGTTGTTTCATTTTTATTGTATGGATTCTTGCAGTCACAAAAACTTCAAATCTATAATTAAGTTATGGAGGATATATTGACCACTCCGATTGATATACGCACAAGGCTAACATCAGTGGTGTGTGATATTTCAACTGGCGCTAATCAATTGGCATTGGTGAAGTATTGGCAATTAATCCAGCAGTGGTTTACCAAAAGGGCTTCACGTGATCAGTTGTAGATAACTCCACAATAAGTTTTCGACAAATACCTGAAGCGAAAACGAATTATCTGGTGAACTGTTACAACTCGGGGTGGACACGGTGGGTGTGATATTATCTTTCTTGCCTGGTAGGCAGTCGAGGGTTCAATCACTGACCCTGACGCCTGCTGTATATTTGGAGTTTGCATGGTCTCTTTCGTCTGGATTTTTTTCTCCTGGTCCTCCGGTGTTCCCTTCAGATTTATAAACGTGCGTTTAGATGATTTTTTAGCTGTCATACATTTCAACACGATAAGCCACTTCGTTCAGCTATCATTTATGGCCAGATCGCTTTTTAAAAAAAAGAAGCCAATATCTGCGTAGACTTTACCTAGTGAAACATTTTTTTCCCCAAGTAATTTACTCACCTCTCCCATACGTTGCCCTCCTATCATGTTTTCGCATCGTTTTACCGTCGTAACTTTCCAGCCTGCCTTCCCCCCACCCCCCACCCAATTTCCCCAAACGTCTGTGAAAAAGCGCTTGGAAGCTCATCGGATTTCCTCCGTTGCGACCCACAACATCACGACATTTCGCATCGTACACAGTGCTGTCCATCACGCGTGGCATTTGCCACCTGCGAATCTCATCCGCAAGAGGGCGCAAGCCCCACACATCACGACACACACACAGAGAGAGAGAGGCGAGGGAGGGGAGGGCACACACACACACAGGAGGAGGAGGAAGAGGAGGAGGAGGAGAGAAGCCCAGAGGAAGCGGAGGAGGGAGGAGGAGGAGGCTTGACAATGGCCTCCAGGAAGGCGGGCACCCGGCTCGAGTTGGAGATAGAGCGCTGCCGTGGCGAGTGTCAGTGGGACAGGATCCCAGAGCTCGTCAAACAGTTCTCAGGGAAACTCATCGCGTCTGGTACAGCCCCGAACACTAAACCACAACCACCAGCGATGTCTGTCTGCGGCCTGTGTGTGTGTGTCTGAGTTGTTGTGTTGTGTGACCGGCCTCTCTGTTACTCTCACGGCTGCCTGTGTCGCTCTTGTGTACGGCTGGCCTAGCAGCTTCTCTGTCCACATTGCCTCCTTGATAGCCGAACAGGCCTCTGGTTTCTTGCATTCTCTCTGCCTCTGTTATTTTCCGACTGCTCCCCCCCCCTTCCCCCATGTCTCTCTGTGTGTATCACTGTGACACACCAGGCCTCCTTCCCAGTGGACACAGCCTCTCTGCATGTCCGGCCCCTGTCTGTCTTGTTAGTCTAACCGGCTTCTGTGTGCCTCTCCTTATACAACAATTCGACCGGCCTCCCTGTCTTGACATTGCGTCTTAATGTCTGTCTCACTGACCTCCCGATCTCCATCTGCCTGTATGTCCCATCACCAGATCTTCTCCTTGTCTCACAGGCTGTCCGCTCAACTTGCTGTGCCATTGCCAATTCGCTGTCGTTCTCCAAGTCCATTCTCCCTCCCACTCCCTTGTCCTTGTAGGTCGGTCTGCCATTATAATCCCATCCATGCCTGTCATCATCACCACTGGTCTGTCTGTGCTGTTGCTTTCCCTACCGGTCTTCTCGTGCCATGCCCCCGGCTTGCATTGGCTGCCCTATCGACTCGAGGCTTGCCATTCATTCCTTCACATTTCTTCAACGTACTTGTCCCTTGCTCCATCTGTCCCCTATCTCCATCTGCCCCACCTTTCAGCACTTTCCACGCCGAATTCCCCATAATGCTCTATGTACCTTTCCCTTGTATCCAGCGTAGATCCCTGATCATAATATACCTGCATCGAAAGCTTCAACATTTCTCAATTTAGAGTTATTTGGCCGCGATACATTTCCACGCGATGAGCCACTTTGTTGAGCCATCGTTTGTGGCCAGGTCGCTTTTGAAAAAGAGCTTTACCTGGTAAAATAAAATTAGTTTAGTTTTCAGTTTCAGTACATCTGCTCTTCCATAATCCCGCCAGACCTGCCCTCCCACCCTCCTCCAACCACACGTGGCCTTCTGTTGTCATTACCCTCCTTTCTAGTTTGACATTGACAATGCCCTTTCCTCCTGGACTGCGCTCTTCACCGTCTTGGATTTCTATTTTTGGTGACGCCTATAACCCTGCAAGCGATGAGTTACCTTATCTACACATCTCCACCTTCGATATCTCTGCCCTCAGAGACTCCCCTATTTTCCTACAGTCTGGGACATTCCACAAATGCGTTTTTCATTAAAATATATATATATATATTTAAGAGGTAATGTCTGTCCCAGTTCCAACCTTTTTTTTTAAATCACAAAGCCTGCCCAAGTACATCGACGTAACATTGATGAGCTCTACTCCACAGGAGGTCACGCTGCCTCCTTGCTCATTCGCACGGCATATTTAAGCCGGGTGTTCCAAGCCTGTGCTTACGAAGTTCTCCCTCTGGCTATGTATGCCAGGTATCTTTTTCAAAAGTATTTTATTTATGCGATCACAAGTAATCTTATTTGCCGAGAAATCCTTTCCCAGCCCCCTTTTTGATTTATTTATTTTTCATTCAACGTCTTGAGATAAGGTTGCATTTAGACTTTTAAAAAAATTAATTTAAATTAATTGTTTTGGTATTTTAAGAGGGCAATAATCTATCGATGTATTGAATAAATTGATTATTGTGCTCACAATGGTTGCATCGAATTGTTAATTGGAAAGGCCATGATTTGCAATGTATGCAAAACATGTGGGTGATAGACTAATGTTACTGTTTGACTAATGGGAACAAAACTGTGAAAATTATATGGAAAGAGAATTTCTACAAATTAAAATGAGATGCCGAAAACAAAGACAAAAATAAGTAGTTCTGGGATTCAGTTAGATCCCCGAATGATGACAATTCATTCAATTGTTCTGGAGGTAAATCGTTAAAAGCTTGGTATTTGTAACCAGATAAGTTGTCCATTTAGGGCTACATTGTCAGCAGAGGGCAGTACAGCAAATTATATTGTACTGCACTATGCGCACGCCTCTGCTTCCCGCCTTCATCAACCAATACTGACAAGCGTGGCGAAATACATGGATATGATCTCATCTAGTAGTAAATTGATATCAGGACTATGCCATCTCCAAGTACCCATTCAGATACCTCCATTCGGTGTTTAACCACCCTAAGTATTTCAGGTCAAAACACTCCTCTTTCGGCCTGTTTCCTCTGCTCTTACCAGAAATTCCCTCTCATCTTGCTCAAATTCAATACACGTATTAACGCATTTACTACACCTTCGTTAAGTGCTGTTTGTTGCTGTTTGCTTAGTATTTTGGGATGTTGTGCCTGTGCTCAGCAATCGTGATAAACAGAGTGAGCTGGTGTGCCCTCTGTGCGACGTGGCGAGCAGACGATGCAGTCGAACTCTTTCTCGGGGAGGCCCTGCTGGAGCAGCATCTCAAAGAGTTCCCGCTCAAGGCTGGGTCCTCGCCCAGGGCTTCAGGGGCCAAGCTCACGGAGGCCAAGAAACATCTCACAGATGTCCTTAACAAGGGCAATCTGAAGGTAGCCGAAAGGTGGCATCGAGGCCGTTGGACCCCCCCAATGGCAGTTGTCCCTGTGCAGTACAAGGTGTAGGCAGCAACGAATTGCAAATGGGCATTTGTCCGTTTGCAGGGGGCGACGCTGGCATATTTTTTGTTCCTCATTGATTAATTTGCCAGTCATTTATCAAAGTTGGACTATGACGCTCGCACATTTGGCCGGCGTTCAAATAATGTTACTGGATTTCCGAGCGTCCAGTGTGAAGTATTTACGGTGAGCACACCAGCGATATTAACCAGGGCGGCCGCTGAGCTCGTTCCAAGTAGCAAATGCAACACCGGTTCGTGGGGCATGCTTGAGTCTGTAAGCGCTTATTTACAGATTAAGTGGATCGTATGCGAGTGATACACGCAGGCAAATAAGAACATTCATTTGGGACCGTGGTAATCTAATTTTAACCCCAAATGTTGACAATCGAATCGTAACGGAGTGAATCATTAAAGGTATAATGAACAATAAAAGTTAACAAAAAAATAAATGTACCACAACACCCACAACTCAGAAATAAAACAAGCGGTGTGTTAGATGAATTCTCATTTTTACTTTTTATTTTGAAAAAACCCTCAAAGGGCCATGCATTGGAGTGTTTTGCCAGTTATAATTTTTAATTAGCTTTGGGTCGAAGCTAAAATACGCAGATAAATCTGACTCATGAAGGGATTATGCTCATCTCCACGCATATATTCAAGAATTATTTTCTGTACTGCTATCTCCTGGCCACCACCCAGTCCGTGGCTGGTATTCCCACTAACCAGGCTTAACTTTGCTTAGCTTCTGGGATCTGATGAGATTGGGCAGGTTGTGGCTGATTTTGTCATAAGCATATGATGCGGTCTGTGTGTAAACTTTTTTTTTTCTTAGAATTCCCCTGTCTTTCCACATGCAAAACAATCCAAATGGAATTGTGGAAAAAAAAGATACCAACAGGCTTACTCAATACTTTTGTGGATGTTGACCCAATATACTTGCTTGGCTTGCTTAAAATCGTGTTGCGGTACTAGGTGAGGCTTTTGTGGCAAACGCTGTCAATTTTAACATAGCATTTGATACGACTGCTTCGTTAGAATTTCACCGCAAACCACACTTTATGAAACGAGGTCTTAAAGATAAATTCCATACGGAGGTTCAAATGGTCACTTTATTGGCCACTTAAATGGCAGAGGTCAATTTAGAGTTTAAAAAGCTATCATTTTACGAACATAATTGACTCAACATTTTTTTACAATTTATTGTGAAACTTTGTACCTTTTATCATGCATAAGCCCTGATTTCATAATTATTATTTGATCATTTATCACTGCGTAATGAGAAAATGAATTCATGATTTAATGCACTGCACCAAGTGGCTAATGTAGCGTGTACATCACATTGCACACAAGGGGGCAGTACTGTATAAGTGCCCAATAATTTGGATTGATGCAAACACTGCCACACCATATAATGTACAGTACAGCCCTTTTATCAATCCACTGCTGGATGAACGCTGCAACGCCCTTGTGGTTAAAGTGGTTGTTTAACCATACTTTGCTTTGCTTGGTTAAGAGGGGGTCCCTGTTCATGTACCACACGCTCACTGTTTGTTCACCATGGTTGAGAATCCCACTCGGATCCCAGCGTGCGTCTGGAAATGCGAGAGAAATTTGAGGCTAAATATTCAGGGTACAAATATCTCAAGCGTTGACCTATGCTGGGTGTAGACTTAACTTTGCAAACCTTACAACACTAGACACTAAGCAATAGAGAAATCGGCAAACCCAACCATGTATCAAATACGGTGTGGAGGACCAAGCATATTTATATTTTACATTAATGTAGATGTAGTTGAAAGGATCTTTAACATTGATTAGTATCGATTATTATGCTCATGATAGATGCACAAAATCAAACTCCTAATATTTGATTATTTACAGTTTTGGCAAATTTGTAGTAATGCACGTTAAGGATATGAGTGAACATGTTTGTACAGATGACCCAGGACAAACAGGATGAACATTACAAATGGGATGGTAAAAACGAGATTTAAAAATTTATTCTGACTCATCACAATATGTCATCATAGCCAAAGCCATTGATGCCACCACACTTTGCCAATGCTTTCTGTCCTCTGCCAGATTTCTGTAGCTGCTGCACAGTAGACACGCAACCTTCAAGTTGTCCGAACAAAAACTCACCATCTGACCTTAGGTCTTTCCCTTCGTCACCGAACTCGCGAAAACCATGCCATATTCTGGGTGATTGGCCTTGTCTCATGCCTGAATCTGTCTTTGGCCAGCCCGAGATGACACAGGAGGCAATGATCATCCTGGGCAAGCTGTTGTACCTGGAGGGCTCTTACAAGGATGCGCTTGGTATGTACGTGCGCGCTGGCCTGGACGACCTCACCCTCATCGGCACGCCCGTCTACAAGATCCGCATCATTGCCGAGGCCTACGCCATTCGAGGTGCCACCCCCTTCCTCTATCATCGCACCGTGTCTCCCTGCCGCCACTGGCCAACTTTTTTCACACCCCGGTTTATTTTGTCTACAATTATCATATCATGCAAACCCCATGTGCGTCGTTTTAAGTGGGCACAGCTTTCCCGAATTCCGGGTCTCGATACACTCTTGTATGTTACCTTTGTAAGTTGCTGTGGATTTTCAGTAATTAATAAATACATATAATTATTATTTCTCTTCCCAATTACACAACTTGGTAGCCTGCAATAAAACATGGCTACAAAGTGTGGTAGTTGTCACCAGGAAAAGGAGTTTGTGATGGGTGATGGGTGGACACGTATGTAGGATGCAAGAGGACAGCTTACTGATGCAGGCATTGGAGTGGTAACCTGGGAGTGACACTGAAAGCCACAGTGGAGACTGTAAGAACTGACCTTCAAGGCTGTGTGTCAAGTTTACAGCAACTCCAGGGTCTAGCAGAAGAATGGAAGTGATTGTGCTGTGTGGTGGACTAGTTCATGTTGGCCATACTCACTTGACCTTTACCCATTCTCACTTATTTCCGTCGGACAAAATTAGCACCTGAGAGAATGTCCACCAACAAACGTTAATGTTTAAAGCCTAATATGTGAATATTACCTTTGGACAAATGCCACAAATTGTTGGGTTATTTATTAAATGTTTCCCAATTTTGCTCTACATACCATGCGCCAGTGTTTCTCCATCGTCTGTGGCCAAAGCACCTGGAATGCATCCGATCTTGTCAGATGCGACAAGATAAAATATTTGAGCCTGGATGTTGCCGGGATGGGCAACCACCATCTCCCAACAGGCCTTTTGGAAACTTCTGCTGGGCTACGTGATTGGAAGCATAGAAAAAACAATTGTTATACTGCACTTCAGCTTTCCCACGTATATGTATTCACTAACCTGCACTGGCCCAGCACGGTGAATTATATTTCGATTTAAAGCTTTCGTGACTGCAGGGATTCATCTTCTTGGTTCTTTCGGTAAAGTCACGTAGAATGGAAATAATAAAATAAGAAAATAAAATAACATAATAAAATAATATTTTAATATAATAAAATAATATTTTATTATGTTTAATTTTTTATTACTTTATTATTTCCATTCTACGTGACTTTACCGAAAGAACCAAGAAGATGAACCAAGAAGATGGTGAATTATGTTCAAATAACCCCTGTGTCCTGCATGGCGTGGGAAGGCCCTTACCCAACAGTGGATTGGCAAAGGGCTGAAGGGAGTAGTACGCAAGGAGGTTCACGACCTCTTCATGTATGTGGCACCTTTGGTGTGCGGCGTTTTGCCTCGTGTATATGAGGCTTTTCTTCGGGCGAGTCCGTTCATACCCAGTACCTGATAGGTCACACATTCCAACAGTGTACAGCCCTGGGAGGTGGTGGCTGCGCACGCCTGTAATCCAGCACTGTGGAGGCGAGGGTTGGTGGCTCGCATGTTGCTCAACTCCCTTCCTGTGAGTGTCGAGGAGGTTCCGTACCCTGGGTCGCCAGAAGAAGGCGGTACAGCAAAGTGGGGGCTCCTCTCCAATTGTTCCATCTGTATGGGATAGAGTGTTGATCTCTAGCATCCACTAGTACTGGTAGTAACCTCCTGGTTACACCAGCCCACAGGGGATTATTGTGCCCGTCCGTCGTGCAGGGAGGGGCTGGGTGGGGAGGGAGGGGCTGGGGGGGTAGGGTGGGGAGGGGCTGGATGGGGAGGGGCTGGGTGGTGGGGTGGGGATGGGTGGTGGGGTGGGGATGGGTGGGGAGGGGCTGGTCACCCCGTGGTGCCCTTATAAAACTCAACGTTTAGCCTACTCACGCCGGCTTGTGCCCACCCTCACAGTCGGGCATATTTACGGAATACACCATGCTGCCGTTGACCCTGGCCATTGACCGAGCAACCCAACGTTCCTACCAGCTCCCTCCGCAGGAATGTGTTTTTATCTGGATGCTCTGGCTTTCTCTCACATGTATAAACACTCACGAATTGGCTGAAAACATGTGAATATGCATGCACCTCTGTGTGTTGCTGATTGTGCATTATTGCGAAATGCAGTTTGCATCAACGACGCTATCTACAAACACGTATCATCACATGTGCACATGTCCACCATTCTCCTTCAAATTAATTGGTAAGATTTCAGTGAGTGAACATTGGAGGTAGAGTCTGTTCTTGTTCCTATCCGAGTCATGCTCAGTGGTGTGTTTGGACGTGAAATACGGGAAAGCTGTGCCTTGATCTGGAAGGGTTGTCATGTTCACTTGATCACAGTGTGATATGATTTGCCTATAAGCCACGATTGGTACAGCAAAGCCTCTATGCAGCATCCATCTCACAGAGGGCTTCGTTTGCGACTTGTGAGAATTCATAAAATTGACATTTCAAGATAAAATCTTTTGGAATTAAATGATGGCACAGAAAATCGTGATAAGCTAGGAATTTCGTTCATCCGTTTCCAAAATTTCCGCTCCTGAGTTTTGCGTTGTGGGCATTGGATTACTCGTGTTTGCATGTCATCTCTTAAAAGCAGTCTTTGATAAATTATTGTGCCTCAAATACTCGCAGCGTGTGAATGTGTGTGAAGATGATTTGTTTTTTCATTCATATGCATGTGCCTTGCTTATTCGGCTGCGTACAACATAATTAAAATGAAATTACAATTTGTAAAGTAACGGCCTCTGTTAACGCTTCCACTTTGTAGAGGTGGCCGCCAAGTGGCACTCTTGAGCTGCCTTGTATCTGCTTACCGAGCTAGCGGCCTACACCAAGTGTTTACTTCTTCAGTCGGTCTGCACTCGCATTCCCGCCAGTTTAAATAGTTGACCTTTCATTTGATGTATACATAGTGTGGGTGCGCTTGTGATGTGCTGAGCAATAGTGTTTGTATCCAGCTGACGGCCGCGCACTCTGTAAAATTCACGGGTCCCGAGTGCCACCACAACGTTCTGACTGGGAAAGTCTCGCTAGGCCTTGGGTAAAACACGAGTTTGTGTTTTTCAGCGACAGGAATGGGGTACCTTTCTCCGTGAACCCTGAAATCATGCGCTGGATGAATGCCGAGCTCTGTTGTTGTGCTGTTGAGTGTGATTGAACGTTCTCATAAAAATGCTTGTATACATTTAGTTAGCTTAAAAGCCATTCACATTTACTGCTTTCACTCCGTTTCCCTTTTATAGGGCTGCAGCAGAAGGAGGCAGATTTCTGGCAGTAAAATGTTTCCACAACTACTTATGCTGCTTTTCCAAAAATATTTTTTTGCCGGCTTTAAAAAAATATATAATTTGAGAGCCTTTGGAGTTGCCGAGTTAAACCAAATTGTGTTTGGCAGTGACAGACTGCGACACTCGTGTCTGTGCATCACAAGACAACTCACTTTGACCAATTTACAAACATGCCATGAGTGGATAAAGGAGACCACATCACACGAATAATCTCATCCAACAACTGCCATCCAATAGTCTTGAATCAATTTCAAGATCACACTTCACTTCATCATCCCTGCCTACCTGTACTCTCTCCATGCACCCTCTACTACAGCAATCAAAGCCTTCTGTCTAAGCTCCAAATCTGGAACTCACTCCACCTATCCATCCATGCTGTCAACTTGTTCTAGTTCAGGCTCAAGATGTTTTTACCTCTGCTTATAACTGACTGACTGAATGCGTCTCACTATAAAATAAATATACCAAATGGTTCTGTACAGTGTCTTGAGCAGCGATCGCTTTGAAACGCAATATAAATCAACGTATTGTTTTATTTATTAATCACTGTTGCTGAGCAACAGGCCCAAAGGGTCACAACACAAAACAGCCAGCAACAATCGGCACTATTGAGGTTAGAAAATGTCAAAGTTAATGGATCTTGAATTGTGCAACGTTCTAATTACTCGGGGAAACACACGAGGCAATGGGAGGGAATTTCAAAGTTAAGTAGTGTGAAAAAAGTAAAAGTAAGACAAATGTTTTGACCTGTAGGTACAGTGGTTGAACGCAATATGGATGACACAAAGGAGCCAGTTTGGAGTCCTCAATGAGTGAAGTTTGAGGGCTCAGTAACCACGGTAGAAGCGATAGGAGAGTGATGAGTAGGCGACTGTATCGTACGAGCATGTAAATTCTCTGCTCGCAGCTCCGCAGGGCTGTGCCTGGAGCAGCAGCCGCTAGCGTCGCCATCACGGAGCCGGCAGAGCGACCGCGAGGAGGAAATCCTCACGTGCTACGAGAAGGCGGGCGACATCGCACTGCTCTACCTGCAGGAGGCCGAGCGGGTCAGTCTCGCGGTGTGGTGTGTGGGGGGGGGGGCGCAACCAGGGGCACACACCTTTTGGAAGTTAGGGGTATCCTGCCAGCAACATTGGTCCCGGTGGTTTTTATTGGTTAGGTTACAGATTCGCGGTGACCCACTGTTTTCTGCTGCTTCTGCTGCTGCGATCAGACCACTATGAGAGTATATGAAGCAGAGGTCGCAACCGGGTACCCGATACCCATACCCTACCCGATACCCGGCTACCCGTACCCGGCCGGGTACGGGTACCCGTTTGCGACCCTGGTGCGGCTGGGTAAGGGTACGGGTAGGCCGTGAGTCCTTGGTGAGTAACTGTTTGTCACTCATTTCCCAACGTCTTGTCTCTTCTCACAATTCAAGTTTCTAGAATCAACCCACCCGCGCCTGCAACATGGCTTCATCCCAGAGGTTGCAATCAGGTACCCGATACCCGTACCCTACCCGTACTCAGCCGGGTACGGGTACGGGTACCCCTTTGCGACCCTGGTGCGGCCGGGTACGGGTACGGGTAAGGAATCAAAACCCGTTTGCGACCTCTGATATGAAGTCACTTCAGCGATGAGAGTGAGTGGAGATCGCTGTAGCTAACATCTATGAGAGTGAGCGGAGGTCACTGTAGCTAACAGATCTCTGTGAGAGTAAATGAATGTCTAGCTCACATCTCTATGTAGGGGCGCACACACACACACACGTAAGTTGGGGCGTATCCGACTAGTGCATGGAATCCGGTGGTTATTGGTTGCAGAATCTACTGCTATCATGATGGTTATTGCCACGCTATATTTAGGACTGACAAACTCTGAGTACGTTTAACTTTGACTCGGGGGGGCAAAATGTTGCGGGTGTCTCTTAGCCACATGTGTCTTGCGTGCACCCTGGGGGTGACCCCCCTCCTGCTCATGACGACAGCTGTTAAGCAACAGCTACGCATGTCAAGAAAGTGGTTGATGATTTACCACATAGTTAATAAAACATATTTCATCGCGGCTAGCCATTAGAATGTGTTTTTAATTATTAAAATCTTATTCATATTGTAATGTCCATTTATGATCCCCGCTGTAATAATTTATGACATTTACGTTATTACTCCGTGCCTTTGGATAGAGCCGTTGTAAAATTAAACTCGTTTTTCCTAAATGTTATTTCGCCGGTAATGCTGGCTGACATCGCGGTACACACAAATGCACGGACGTGCGCATTTGTGGGAAAACTGCCGCCATGCAGATGGCGGGAGTTAAAAACGTCAAAAATGTTCAGACATTGCATGTTTCCTTGCGTCTTTTGTCTCCGCGTAAAGTTTGTTATCTGTGGAATGCCACCGGTTAGTGGCAGGCGGCCAACACTCTCGGCATAACTCCGTGGGGTTTTTTTGCGCATTGCATTGCACACTTACATGACATTGCGTGATTTTGCTAAAAGCGTACCTGGCCCATTTTGTAATGAAATGGTTGAGTTGTTTTCACATTTGTAAGTTTTTTCTTTTTTATCACAATTTCAGTTATATATTTATAATGTCACTCAATTAACATGCTCGCCAATGCCATCTGCTGCGAGTTTAAAACACTGTTGCACCTTAATATGCACATACCGCTTCAGAGCTTGTGACATCATAGGTTCGAGTATTACTCTGCTATGAATCTTTAACATCTTAAAAAAATGTGGTTTCATCAGCATATAATTATTCATGGATGAAAATTTAATTTAAGGGTTAGCCGTTCTTTCACACGGAGGAGTTGCACTGCCCTGGGTAAAATCTAGATGGTTACATGTTTCCATGACATGACCACCGAGAGCATAATCGGGATAACATTTTGGAGAAAAAGACCTCGTCTGGTATACAGGAGGTCTGTATATTGTTGGAGTTTGCATGTTCTCTCCGTGGTTGTATGGATTTTCCACATTTAGAATCAACATTCGTTCACAGTATTTGACTCCTATAAATTTCCACACGATAGGCCAGGTCGCTTCAGAAAAAGAACAAAATAGCTTAGTGGGCCTTACCTGGTAAAATACAAAAATTGTTTATTTTTTTTAGGTAAAATTGAGCATGGATGGCAGCGCTGCTTTGTGGGTGGGATTGTAACGATTGTTGTCCACAGGCGATTACAAACGCGCAGAATCGCAGCCCAAAGCCGCCGTGTATGTCGGCTCCGGAGCAGGAGATGGGCTACTTCCTGGAGGTCGGCCTGCAGAGCGCGCACGTGCTCAGCATCCGCAACGGGTACGTCCGCGCGGTCAGCTTGGCCCGCCAACGCCTCGCCCAGTATCTTATCGCCATTTCATCGTGACCCCGTTATCACCGCCTTCGGGCGCATGATCTCCGGCTGTCTGAAGCATATGCAATAATTCAAGCTCTTCTCAATATCCGTTTGTTGACATCAGCAGTGTCATCTTCATCTTGATTTCCATCATTTAAAAAAAGAGGTTATTTTTAGGGGTTTTTATGGTAGCAGCATTTAACAAAAGGTGTTACGGGTAACAATAAGCAGAGAGCAACATAGTACAGCCAACAGATCCAAGACACGAGAGCAGCATACCACCGAGTGTATGACCTGCACATGGATTTGTCTGAATGGACGATCATTGATTTCTGTTGTTTGGAAAATGCATTTTTAAATGTCCACATTTTATTTTACCTGCAACCAAATTGTAGCCCATTGAGACCAGAAGGCCATTTTTCAAGGGAGACCTGGGTTAAAATACAGACATCAATTTTTTTTTACTGAAATGAAACAGTGAAACAGGTTACGGAGTGCACAAAAATTCAAAATGCAGAAATTTAATGAATTGCAGGAACAACGTGTAGCATATAAAAGCAGAACAATATATGCAATTTTTTGTATTATTAGGATGAAGAGTTATTATCTCAAAAACACTTATTTTCATACTCTTAAAAAAGATAATCAAAAAACTGAACTTGACGGTATGATTCGTATTTGTAAAACAGTCACAATATTGTTTTACGTACAAAGAGCAATATGCTTCAAATAGAAATATCCATATTTCGGAATTAATTTAGTGGCTTATGATAAGAATGCATTCTAATGGGAGGGGATTGTGCGTGGAGCAGTGATGCTTTGGTTAGTGCGCTGCATGATAAACCTGGTCTCCTGCGTTCGATTCCAAGCCACAGTGGTAGGTAATATCTGAAGTGGTCCTGTCCACCCCTTCACCAACTTGCACAGACCAGCTTTGTGAAGTATGGTGAAACAACTCCCATAACCAACATGGCAGTTTGTTGATAAAGAGTTCCAAGTGATTATTGTTATTAGTAAGCATTTCCATTTTTGGTTGTTTGGGTTTGCCGTTAAGAGTTATGAGACTGAACACCCATGGAAAGGCCCCGTGGCCTATCCAGTCTGTCCTATATATTTGTATCTGTCAGAGCCATTCATTACCAACGTCATCTTTGGAGGCCTCATCATCATGACGAATGCGTTGCTGTCAGCCATCATATACAGCCTCATTCTGAGGCGAGGCCGTTTCTGCGCGATACTGCCCATGAGAAACGACTCCTGCTGCTCGCATGTTAACGTGTATTTTTTTAACACTTGCCTGCCTACCGCGTCACCGACATGTGTGCTGTGCGTGGATGCTTGGCTTTTGTTTGTAATTGCAGGACTTCACAGTGGGACAAGTCTGAGATAGCGTATGTGCAATGCGCCAATCGCAGATACCTAGAGCAAGGATACTCGACCTATCCTGCTTTGGAATGGAATAAATTTGTATTTTTGTTGTTGTTGAGCATTTTTGAAAATTATTATCTCAAATCTAGTATCTGTCGGTGCTTCTGTTTGGGTGTTCATGTGATTGATGAAAATGTGAGTCTCCTTTGTGTGATTTTTGCGTTAAGGCTTAAATGATTTTTCCTTGACACTTTGATTTATGGATTGAATCCCGTGGGTTCAGAAATAACCTGAGTGCATGGTGCCATATAATAAAGTTTAACAGTTTTTAAAATTGGGAGCGATTATTGGCTGCCAGCATATTAAAAAAAGCCCAATTCCAATATCTAGCATTGCCTGCTACAAAGTTGCGACAACATTTACAATAAGCCCCGAGTATGTATTTCCTCAGTTGATCGTTTAAAAATGGTAATGCATCTCAATGGATTTTCACCTGGCTCGGATATTGGATATTGAAGTTCAATGATCAAAACAAGCTTTGAATTTCTATGACATTATCTCCTCATGTGAGAAAAATCACCAGATACATTTACTTTGTAAAATCAGTTTTGGTTTGTTTGTTTTAAATATGTTCATGTTATTTCTGGTCCTAATACGATTATTTGTGCATTCCTTCTTGATTATAAATCAGTCGTGTGAAACAAATGTCTACTTCCTTTGCATGGGCCTGATTTTATGTTTGATTGGTTTACTGTATTTGTGGGTTTGTTTTCTTTGAAGTTCATTACATGCAGTGCTTAATTTCATCCGGGAACAGTCTTGAATGTTGTTCTCAGAAATATTTTGGCATGCCACATCTATCTCTTATGATTGGTAATAGGATTTTATTGGATTATAGTCTACAATAATATAGCAATATTATGGATAAGTGTACCTTGTCTACTTGTGGTAGTGCCTCATCCCAATAATCCCTAATCCAGGCCAGCCTAGCAGCTGGCAAATATAGAGTAAGAAATTAAGCCCTGATTGCATTGTTTGATCTTTTTTGAGAGTTCAAAACAATTTGAACGTGCTGATTAATTTGCTTTTCCAGATTTTGACGTTGGGCACGATTCACATTCACATGTAGGTGATTGAACCTTTTGCCCAATGTTTGTCTCCAATCGACAAAAATGGAGCAAAGTCCGAAGACGATGCGTTTGTCCGTTTTTGCCGAGATGTGAATCTGGCTCAGCATAACTTAACGCGTTTGCTCAATGGAGGAATCCATTTCAGCGGCTTCCTGTCGCAGTGTTTGACATCGTCTTAATCCAGCTCGCAAACCTCATACACATATCCAGCCTTGCAATATTAAACTCCTCTGCATCAATACCTGGTGACGTATTTATTCCAACCGATTAACGTAAACTATTCACGTGGTGTGTGCTATGAATTTCGCTGCAGTGCAGCAACATTCATAGCACTGTATTATGCCCCCACATCTGTACTCCCCACCTTCACTGGTTGGCGCGGTGAAGTATGGTGACATTACCTGCACGGTGTTTGGGAAGCTCTTATCCACCAGTGGATTGATCAGAGGCTGTACATGTACATCGTGTGTTCATTATTTCACCCTTAAGTAACAATTTGCAGTCGTACTGCACTGTTAAGACGATCCACAGCGATGTGCACAAATACGGTAAACAAATCCTCGCCCAATGTTTCCCCCGGTGAAGGCTTCACAGGTGGTTGAGTAAACGATCTGTCATTTTCCACGAAAATGCAGATGTCAGCCAGATATGTATAAACACAGCACACTGTGTGCCTCTTTTTTTTGGCATCGGTATTTCATTATGTTGACGTGTGCTCATTGCTCATTGTACGTTTATTTTTGCATGGGTTCTTTTCTTTTTTTTAGAAATCTCACCCGAGGAGTTGGCAGATTCCGTGAAATCCTCAGAGCTGTGGAGACACGGACCACGCAGAACCTGCGAATGGTATGGGACCGCTCGATTGCCAGGCTCGCAGCTCTCTTGTAAAATTCAGCTTGGCCCACGCTTCTCAACCTTTTTGGAATGGCATCCTCCCCAATCAAGGCCACAGGTGTCTGCATCCCCCTCCATCCAAGCTCCAGTGCCACATGTGCATGCCCCTAGTCAACGCGGTGTTTCTAAGGCACGTTTCACGTTGTGCCATGTGTGTGTTTTGTATTTTGTGTTAGCCATTTGTTTCATGTTGTGTGTGTGTGTTGGTTTTGTGTTCGCGATTTGTTCAATTTTTTGTGCTTTTTTAGTCCTTTGTTTGATGCTGTGTATGTGTGTGTATTTTGTGTTAGCCATTTGTTTAATGGTGTTTATTGGTGTTTATTTCTGTTAGGCATTGGTTTCATGCTGTGTATGTGTGTGTTTTATGTTCTGCATTTGTTTCGCGTTGTGTATGTGTGAGCTTTGACACCGAAAAGTGGCGCTGTTTTTTTTTTACATTTTACTTTTATCCTGCACAGTATCTAAGCCACATCCTGCACCCCCCCACCCTTTCAGAGGGCCTGAACTGCCAAGCTCAAGTGTTTATTCAGCAGCATGAGCCTATCCGATTAGCTTGTTTTCTTCGGCCACGGACAAATGTTGGCCTATCGCTGCGAATCACTTGCTAGCAGTGTTCAGTAATTGACTTGTTGCTTAAAAATAACGTTATAATTCCCTGCACCACAAATTACTACAAACTGCACTTTTCATCTGTTAAACACATTATAGGGAAGCAGTGGGGTTTGGGGGGGGGTGTCAGCAAGGATGCCTAAGCTTGTCCAAATATTTTGTCACTTATCAAATTCATCGGAGTGCATTCGACCACTTTTGCGAAACAATTCGTATCAGCGTGGTGAATTTCATCCAAAATTCCCCCCAAGCCGTCAGATTATTTCTCTCCATGTAAATTGAAGCAAAAATTACCGCACGGTTTTAAGGAATAATCTTAACAAAAATGATAGTTTTTACATTTGTCCTTTTCTAAATTTAAAGCAACAAAAAGGGACTAATATTGCATTGTTCATGGTCGTACGTTCTTAAAATCCAGCTGTGCCGTGTAGGGGTCTGGGCTTAATAAAATGAGAATGTTTCTCCACTTTCCGACGTGTGACGGTATCGTGATATCTAACATCACTGTGCCGTGCCAACGCGCGGCACCTGGGGCCAGGATTGACATAATCCTAGCGTGCTCAGTGAAAAGCACGATAACCGGATTACTCCATCGCGTTAAACATGCTGCATGTTTGAAACTGAATGTTGAGGCTGTCGACTGCACTTTGCTTTCCCGCCCACTGACCAGCTGCTCTCTGACCCTGCAACGCGCCTCACGCCGATGAGACCGCTATCCTTCGCCTGTTCGACTCCAGGCTCGAGACCTTTTACCCCTCTTCTCTTCTGCATGTGACTCTCTTTATGCATGCGTTTTAAAGCCTTTGTTGTCGTTTCAGTAGCCATTCTTATCTCAAGACTTCCGCCTGTCACGTCGCAAAATAAATAAGTAAAATATGAAAAATGTCCTCGATTGACACACGTCGTATATTTTATAGCGTCTTGAGAGGCAGTTGCAATTGAGCGCTGTATATATCGATCCCGTGAGCTCACAAGCTAAGCAGCGTTGAGCCTGGGTCAGTGCTTGGGTGGGTGCTTACCTCATTAGTTCTGCAATATTCCTTCAGGGCCCTGTGCTTGTTCTCTGCGATATTTATGTTTTTTTCTTTATTTTTTGCTGATGCGCTCGCGCACCACGGATCTCTCCTGTTAAAATAACCGGGCGACTGGCTATGATCGGGACCATCCCTGTAACAAATGGAACAAACTCAAAACTCACCCGTGCGCATAAAAAGGTTGTCGTAGGGACTGCAACGCTATGCGGTGAGCAGCAGAGGGCAGTGCAGTAAAATCCACTAATGCACCGCACTTCCACGCTTCCAGGTCTGCCCCCCCCGCCTGCAACCAGCCCACGCTGACCAGTGTGGCAAAGTGCGGTCACACACAATCTCCACGTGCCCACACAGCGTGGGTAGAGTCTCGTCATCCAGGAGTGGATCGACAAAGGGGTTGTATCTGTAGATGTCCAGCGAATAACACACCCCCCCGTTAAGATGGACTTAATTCGCTTATGTGGACGACACAAGCGAATTAAGTAGTTTCCTATCTAAAATAATATAAGGGGCCATCCATTTAGTTAATACGCAAAAATCTGTGAAAACTTGACTCCTCCCTGTACGCAAGCGTACTTTTTACACCCCCCCCCCCCCCCACCTGCGTACGTTCGCTTGACGCACCCTCCCCCGAATCCTATAGAATGGCCGATATTTAATTCACGCAGAAACGATCAGGGATTAATAATATTGACGTGTTGAAGCAAACAGATAGTCCACCGCCGGACTATCTAACTCATTTGAAGGCCAATGTAGATAAATTATTATCGAGGCTTCACCCCCCCCCCCCCGTTTCCTATGCGTACATTGTCAGTAGACCCCCCCCATACGCAAGCGTACGCATTTGGGTTAACTCCCCCTCTCCCCTCCATGCGTACGTACTCAATGAATGGCCCCGTGGATGTCTCAATTGTTCAAATTCCTTATTTCAGCAATTTGGAGCTGGGAATGATAAGTGAATAATATATCGCTTCCCGCATAAAAATACGCTTAAGAATATATGACTTTTTTTGGCTGAATGTGCCTTGTTAATCTAAAGCGATGATTCCAATTAACAGCAAAACGCACACTGAGTGAAGGGAGGGGGGGGGGGGCTACACGTGCAATAAATCCACTCCGTTTCGCGCCGTGTCCTCCTCCCCCCTCCGTTCCGCCCCCCCTCCCCCCACCACGCCGTCGTCGCGGTGGCGAAGACGATCGCGCGGCAACTGGCGGAGATCCTGCTGCGGGGCATGTGCGAGCAGAGCTACTGGAACCCCTTGCAGGACCCCCCGCAGACCCCGCACGGCACGGCCGACCCCCTGCAGCCGCCGCGGGCGCCGCTCGCCAAGGCCTACTCGCCGAGTCGTGGGCCCCGCACCTACGCGGGCGACAAGTGAGTGGCGGCGTTGAGGCGTGCGCAGCGGTGCTCGAGCGCGCAGCTGTCACCTGAGGAATGGGGGGGCCTTTTGAGGGGGCTGAGACACCCACCCCCCCCATCCCCGCTGCTAAAGGCTCAAACCCCCTTATAAAGTCAAGTCAAACTGTTGCTACGCAGGTGAGGAGAGATCGAGCAGAATGCATGATAGACAAAAGCAGGCGATTGTGTGTTTCGTTCTGTTTATCGTTCAGTATTTGTTTAAAGTTTGCTTAGCAATGACTGTAGCGTGCTCCCATCCCCCCCCCCCCCCCCCTGAGTTTTTGCATGCCCTGCCCCCTCCTTAAACATGGGCACACTGCAGGCTTTGCCGTCACCCCTAAATTTTATTGAGCCAGGGCGCTGCAACTGTGTCCCCCTTTTAAACATTTCCCATCAGCTGAGTAATGGTGCCTCGCGAGGTAGTGCATAGATAAAGACGATGGTGACGATGGTGACGATGGTGACGATGGTGACGATGGTGACGATGGTGACGATGGTGACGATGGTGACGATGGTGACGATGGTGACGATGACGACGATGGTGACGATGGTGACGATGGTGACGATGGTGACGATGATTAGTTCAGGCTCATTCTGGAATCGGCATGGTGAAGGAGGGCTAAGTAACCCCCACAACCTGCACAGGGTCAAGGCATATTGACTGTTTGTAAAAGTAAAAATGGGTTTGGGCAGGACACGTCACAAGAAGGATAATGCCCTGTCGCCACAAACAGGAGTAGCAGCCACAGGAGGGAACTCGCCCGAGAGCACATCCACAGTGGAGATGGAGCGATGATTTTGGCTCGTGCGCTGGTGCCAGGTGGATTGTACGCGAGAGATGACGACGGCTTGGGGCAAGCCTTCATCCAGCAGTGGCTTGATCATCGTTCATAACGATAATGAAGATGAAGTAATAGATACGTGAAGCAGTTATGAAGGGCAAAGGATTTAGCACATTTTAATTGGCAGTCTTTGAAATGGAATGAGCACAGGTGGGCGGGGTGGCCGTGAGGGTTGGGTAGGCACTGAATGGGATAGACTGGCAGCCTTCGGTGTGTTGACTGCCGGGTCAAACTCACCGCGTCCTTCAGGTCCGCCAGTTTCAACACGCGTGACGTGTGCGGCGTAACCTCCTTCGGGTAATCTCCGTACGACGGCCACGTTTTCAGCCTGCCCATGAATGGAGTGTGTTTACTTTGCTTGAAATATGAATGGAAGAAATTGGCTCTACTTGGAAAGACCCTCTGCATCGGGACCCAAGACCAACAGTTGAGCACCATTGGGTTAGCCTGTGGCTTAAACAGCCATTATGTCCGTAATGTAATGCCCGTTCAAGTAGTTAAAGTGCAATCAGCCTTGGCAGCTGCCTTTAACGTCGTTGTTGGCTATTTGCGTGTATTATGAATAAATGACATGCCCTTCGGGTGTTTGTTGGTCCTTCCACAGTGGGACATTTTTATACTGGCTGACGCGTCTTTTGCATTTTTATCTGAACTTGCAGCCGCCGACTCGAGTTTCGTCTTACCACGTATTTAAATAAGTCGTGTGTCGACGTACACTTCAATTGTTACGCTAAATACATTGCATACAATTTGCTTATCATTTAAATCTTTTGCACACATGAGTCGCGACGTGTTTTAAAAGCAGGATTTCATGGAATTGATGTCAACTGTGTCATCATTCGTCGCCGCGTCACATTGGACGTGTGCTGAGTTTCCCGTGTTTCCACTGGCAGAGCCAGTGGTGGGGGGGGGGGGGTGGGGTGGCACGTGCCCCCCCCCCCCCCCAATGATCCGCTCGAAATCCCTAATTTCGATTGCATCATTTGGGTTTATTAGTAATAAGTCGGCATCTTACGACCCCCACTGCCACTGTGTAGCATATTATGATGTGCCAGGGACTTTAGAAGATGATAGGACAATAGTCTGAGTCCATAATTGCCAATAAGTAACGGCAAAGCAGTTATAAATAACTTACAGAATTGCGCACGCAGTTGCGTCTACAGTACACGACTTCCCCTGAAGACATTCACCTTCAGCGAGCGCGATGCCGATCACAAACAGTTCGAATTCAACCCTCGATCGATGGCTGCGCCATCGCCGCACACGCGTCGAATAAAAAGCAAGGGACAAGTCCTTACTTACTAACAACTATAATTTTTCATTGCTGGAGGGGTTGCCCCCCCCTACCTGAAAATCCTAGCTCTGCCATTGCGTGTATTTACATTTTTTTAATTAATTTGCTTTCCAATTATGCCTTTTTTGCATGAGCAGTGAGAACAATACTGGATCTACTCTGGCCACCAAACCGGGCTAGAGAGCCCGTGTCCCTAAAAACATCCTATCCTGCCTGAACCAATCCCGATAGATTCCCAGAACTCGTAATGCTTTTACCAATCCATAGGCTTAGCTGCGCTTAAATTGTAAATTGGTCATGATGTCACGGGGTCAACGAGGAAGGGAAACTCACGCACCGTGAATTAACCCGCTTAGTTCAGCTTTATCGACCGTGTTGGTATTGTGTTGGTGGGGGTAAAAAGTTGATCCAACAGGTTTACAACAATTGTCGACCACCGCCCCCCCCCCCCCCCCCCCCCCCCCCCCCAATTTTTTATTTTTTTATTTTTTTGTAAGCATATATTCCTACACCCTCCATACAAGAGAGTCAGTTGTATATCGGCGCACATTGGGGGGGGGTAGAAGAGGACATTAGTGGGGGCGACAGGCGAAGCGCGGAGCACCGAGAAGCCCTACGTAGGAGCTAGTAAAAAAAATAGCTCTGCTTTCCTTGTCAGAATTTGAAATCAATTATACTTCAATGGACGTAGACTTAAAATTGACCACCCATAAGCAACATGTTAAGGAGCTCAGAGCAGTGTTTGTGTGCAACTTAATTACCAAACTGACGGATTCTTAAAAGGTCTGCTTAATTTCTCCAGCCTCTTCTGCCCTCAAGAGAACACAGAGGAAGCCCTGCTACTGCTGCTGATCAGCGAGTCTATGGTAAGGGTGTCCGGAATGTCACTTGGGTTCATCAGGAGCATTTTACCTCGTACGACCGAGCCATGCCGGGGCCTTGCCGAGCCAGCAAGCGTGGCAGAGGAGGGTGCCAGGTTGTTTTTCCACCGCATAACCTGAGCCGTGCTGCGAACCTGAATACATTTTATTCAATGAAAATTATTCGCCTTACACCTGACGCTACTTGGCCCCCGAGCCAGCTTCAGATGTCATTTTGTGAGACCGGAGTTTGACGGTTTAGTTTTCGGCTCGGCTCGGCAAATAGCCGGTGGAAAACCACGCGTGCTATGAAGGCCCGGTTTTGGCATGGCTTGGGTATAACAGTGGAAAAGGAGTATTGGTTTGCCTGCTTGCTTGCTGACATCTCAAAGCACTGTTTGCTTGTACTGCGTGCCATTATCACTCGTCGTCAAACATTAAGATGCATCAGCACTGTCTCCATCACTGCATAAATATTAGCACCTTCCCCTTGATGGCTGATTTGAGCTGTAATTACTTGCCCCGGGTCATACACGGTGTTTAATTATCAAATAAGAATCACTGTGGTGGATAGCGCATTTACAGTCGAAGGTGCTGACACTGATATTGCGGGTGGGGATAAAGACCACGGATGGGAGACTGATTTGGAATATCAGGTGTTGCAGGAGTTAGCTACAAGGTGACCAGGAGCTGACAGCAAGGAAAAAACTGTACCGAGCATTTTGTGTTGCCCACTCATACGCGTGTGTTTTCTCCGTGTACTGCGCATTTCCTTTCTCCTGCCAAAAGAAACTCATTCATGGACTTGACCCAACATCCATACGTAGGACCTTCCTGAAAAAGTGTTGAATCATTGAGGTGTTCCTGGGTAAATAGAGGCCATTATTTTTTATTATGAATGAGACACCCATTGTGATGTTGATGACGATCTTTGGCAGGCGAATCGCGACGGGGTGCTGAGCCGCACGCCAGAGCACAACAACGACCGGGTGCTGAGTCTGCAGAACGCCACGGTGGTGTACGACCTGCTCACCATCGCCCTCGGCCGACGCGGCCAGTACGACATGCTGGCCGAGGTGAGCGTAGCAATCCCATTGATTCATCGATCATCCATTTCTCTTTTTTTTACACTCGTGGTCTTCCTCTTCTTCAATCCCCTGGTCTTTCCCGACTTCTGAGGCGTGTCTGCTCATGTGCCATCCTGCCTCATGAGAGTGATTCGTTTTTGATACAGCGCTCGAGGACGATACGCCGCGCGTCTCATCTAAAACATTTCAAAGAGCAACCCCCCCCCCCCTCCCCGAGTGGTAGCGATCTCTGTGGGCACAAAGTTACTGAGCACCTAGCCTGCAAAACGGGCATTAGTCTGCCGGTAGGTGGCGATGATTGCCATGTGTAATCCCAATTGAATGATTTGAGAGTAGTGTTTGAATTTGACCGGTACACAATGGCCTCCTCTTGCGAATGTTGTCAGGGAGATCTATAAAGTCTACTGTGTAGGGGACGGCGTGAAGTGTCATCAAGGTGATTACACCTGCTGGTTTCGAACCGTGAACCTCTGCATCAAGCGGCGAATGCGCTCTAACTTTTAGGCCGTGTCATCTTATCACGTCACTTTTGCATGTGGCTGCTTTGAATGCGTTTGTTTCCTGGCAATATGTTAAAAAGCATGTGTTTGGAAACACGTTTACCTTTTGTAACGTTTCTGGACAAATGTCTCCTTGTGAGTGCTGGGCTTCAGAATCAATTTGAATCCCTACACGTGTAACGGGTTGATGTGACCTGTGTCGCCACTTGGGGTGGGGGGGGGGAGCGAGCCTTCACCACACTGTTAGCGCCCTGAGAACGATTGTTTAAGGGCGTTTTATAAATTTTAATTATAAAAAAATTATTATAAAAATAAGAGTAAGTTTTTTTAATTGAATCTCACCTACCAAATCGTGACGAGGGGAGCGAAGTGGTATTCACCTAAAATAATTGTATTATCACGATGAAAAGGAATGCTGTTGCTTTAGAGTTTTTTTTGTTTTACAAGTGGACGAGATCAAGTGTGTTTGCCGAGCACTGACCGCCGGTCCTCAGATTAGCACGGTTGGCTACGTAAGGTGCGAAAAAAGTTTAACATACATACAGTACATCGAGACTTTACGTATGATTTGTAAACGTGTGTGCGAGCCGCAATGCTCAGCATGCCCGTGTTGTAATATCACCATCGTCGTCAGCTGTAATGCGGAATTCACAAAGCGGATTTCAATGTGCAACCACCAGGATTGTATTCTCTCTGCACACTGCTTTACATCGGAAACATGGCCCTCTTTGCTTTTTGCAAATCCTCCTTTGCATCTTACACTTGAAATGCCATCAAAATATAAACATATCACTGTGATCTTACATTAATATTGGTCAGTCCTCGATATGTTTTTAGAGTCTTCTTCATTCAGACACCATATGTGTGTTTCTGTAAAACACACTGTATGAGCTCTGGCAGAGGATCATGGGTAATTATTTAATACACAGGGAAGTATTTTTTGCTATGTTAGAATGTGTTCGTCGTCCGTCAGTCTACGAATTTTCCGGACCAATCTTTAATGCGGTCAACTTCTGTTTAAGCCCGATTACTGGACGAGATGCTTGAGGTTGAAGCCAGTCAAGAGTTTCGCTGTTTCAACAAATGTTGTTTGAAAAGCATTGGTCTGGAACAGGGGTCGGCAAACAAAATAACAACAAGAGACATTTTTTTCGAAGTCGTGAAAAAAATTCAATATTTCAAGAGCCGCAATGCACATTCATACGAGACGGTGGTCAATAAATGACGTCACGCAGCAGTCCTTAAAGAGCCGCAGGTTGCCGACCCCTGGTCTAGAAGATGCCATAGGCTGACGGACCAAACTAATTGTACATGGAGAAGTGTGTATTTGCCTATACAATACAATGTGAATTACGTCTGGAGTCTAAATGTGACAAATGCATCTGAAGACAATATGGGACCTTTCTTGGCAGTATTAAAATATAACAATTGGTGTTACCCTTTCTGGCAATAAAACAGTTGTGTTAAGATGTTAAAACACCAAACGGAATCCTTACTCAAGGAATCCTGTCTGCATTAACCATACTACTTGTGGTGAACATGCAAACAAAAAACATGCTCTGATAACATGTGCGTTGTCTTTGAAACTGATTGGTCCACACCAGAGACAGCAATTTTTTTGCATGCTCACCACAGGTACGTGTGGTTAATGCAGACAGGATTCCTTGAATAAGGATTCTGTTTCGTGTTTTAACATCTTGACACAGCTGTTTTATCGCCAGAAAGGGTAAAACCTATTGTTATGCATCTGAATATACTTTACAGAAACTCTTAATTCATTATTATTTACGTATGCAATGATTTTCTAAGTTTGTTTCGAAGGCCTATATGGCCTGCCCTCAATTATTTGAGCATGAAGGAAAATCACTGTTGCTAGAATCCTGAGTTAGAACTGAATGCACTTATGTTTGCCTTCTCATTAGTATTGTGCTTGGACATTGTCATTATTTTATTGTTGCATTTGTGCTATTCCTGTTTTTAACCTGGTAGTACTTCTTGGAAAATTGACTCTTAGTCTTCACGGCCTCGTAGGTAAATCATTCATGTTGACGATGATCATCTCAGCCCATTGTGTTCATAAAAATATGCGGAGTGAAATGTGTATTAATGTAAGGATTACTTTTTTCTCTTTTGAATAACGTGACCACGTTTTGTACATACATGCAAGCTTTGGTGCACAAGTGGATTTTGAACTTTCGGCATTACGGTGCTTATTATTGGCTGCAGGATTTCACGGTGTTAAGGATTAACTTGAAAGTGCGAAACAATTACCGCACCTGACCTCTGCGTGCTCTTTAATGGATTTGGCGGCATTGCTTTGTGAAATCCCACCCTGTATTATGTGCACACTTTACACTGTGGCAGAAATTCGAATGTATGGCCAAACGTTCACCGACAAAGGGGACATCTGCAATTTGAATACGACAGCATGATTGCTGTCAGTCCACTGAATTCATCACCTATGTGTATATTAATGCACGCGTGAATACAACTATACGTGCGTTTGTTTATATAGTAGGAAATAATAATGATACATAATACCCTTTTACTCAGGAATGCCTCACTGATTCACAAGATGTGTATTAATAAGGGTCCTGCATTGGGTTATTTAAATACATTTCTACGGAGGGAGCTGGCAGGAACGTTGGGTTGCTCGGTCAATGGCCAGGCTCAACGGCGGCGTGGTGTATTCCGCAAATATGCCCGACTGTGAGATTGGGCACAAGTCGGCGTGAGTAGGTTAAACGTTGAGTTTTATAAGGGCACCACGGGGTGACCAGTCCCTCCCCACCCAGCCCCACCCCTCCCACCCCCCACCCAGCCCCTCCCCACCCAGCCCTTCCCCACCCAGCCCTTCCCCACCCAGCCCCATCCTCCCCACCCTTCCCTCCCCATCCAGCCCTTCCCTCCCCACCCAGCCCCTCCCTGTACGACGGATGGACGGACACAATAATCCCCTGTGGGCTGGTGTAACCAGGAGGTCCTACCAGTACCGATTCCATGAATCAGTTTTTGGTATGTTAGATGAAACTGGAGCTCCTGGTTAAAAACTCTCTTGACCTAGTAAGGAGATAACACTCGACACACCGCACAGATTTAAATATCCATCCCACTACTGCAAGGTCCCGGCCACTACACAGCTAACGTGTTTTGGGTTTGATCTCCACATCAACTCAGGTATTCAAGCAAATGCGCAACCTCTAGCTTTGGTTGAACCTAATGAAGCCACCCAAAGAGGCAATGCCTGTTGGAAAAAAACCCAAATATATTGTGAATAATGATTGTGAAGTTGGCTACAGTGCAGCAGCATTGAGGATTGTATCGGATAAAACCAATAAGTTGTCATGATGGCCTCAATGGCATTCAGCCACCAGAGCGAAGCCACGGTAGATGAATTGTGTGCTCCTTTTGGACATTTTATTTCGTCTGCAATCACTTCCATCCTGAGTAATTATCTCAAATACCCATTTGCTTTGGTGCCTCGAGGGGTGTACTGCATGGGAGGCGTGGTACAAATAATAATAAAAAACAATGAGTCGTGTGAAATAAGGTGCAGTGAAAAAAGTGTGAGATTCTGCCACCAAAATTGCCACACAATGCATTAAGAGTAATATGAATAACTTGAATCCCCTTGTCAGTTCACTGATGGATGAAGCCTTCCCGCATGTCATGTCGGCAATGGCGGTTGCTTTGACTTTACCCAAACATGATTGGCAATGCGGGTTTGGTATAGAAGGGGGTAGCCAAGATTGACTCGGATATCACCACTCTTGTGAGCCGTGGACAGGATAAATATTCAGTTCACCGCGTTTCTGGTGGTTGAGGGCACTGATCACTGCAATCCCCCTACTCCCCACCAATGTTATGAAGCCCACTGTGTGTGTGTTGAATGTTTAGTTAAAGTTTTGTTGCACTCGGGGTGACCATTACTAACGTTAAATATGTATTACAAGTTGGATGTACACACGTGTCTCGGAGTGTTCTTAACATTCCTCTACATTTCAATCAACACGCAAAACTGCATCAAAAGCGCACTCCATCTGTGTGCATTATGCAAAAACTTGTCCTAAGTTATTCAGAAATATGTTTCAGTTATGAGGAGCTTCTCCTCATCTATCGAATAAGTGACTTGCTTTGGATGGAAATTAATTTAAATATTCCTCCCTCAAAACGTTTTGCCTGTCCACGCCTGTTTACCCGGTGATGTTGAGAACATCGACAAACGCATCGGTGCAGCTGCCCTCAAACGTGGTGCTGCAGGCTGCCGGAAGGCGGGCAAACGTAACACGAGAGGTGAAGTCCTATTCGTGCCCATGTGCATGTCCTTCGGCGCAGGCCAAAATTGTGGGTAATTTATGAACACAAGGTGAGTTACGGTGTAAAAATAGCCGCGTTATGGTTACTAACGTGATGCAATAATGGCTGACTGATGAGGGAGTGCTGTTTTTGGCGCATATGCCGTGTGGTGATTTGTACACGGCTGTATTTTAGCCTCATTTTTGTGTTTTTATGGATAATACATCACTGAAAATTATTTATACTGAACACTTCCTAGCCATGGATAAGATAAATATAGTAATGCAAAAGTAAAAACAAATACTTTTGTGCATTTCAGTTTTCCCTCGCGCTACTTTGATGGTGTGTTATTCAGGGAAGATGATAATTACGAGGCAGAGATGCTGAGAAAAATAATATTGACTGGGTTGCGCCAGTCAAAAACAACTGTATGGAGAGTGATTAAATGACGTATGTAGTGGCGTCTTAAAAGAAACATCATGGGTTACAATAATAGTTGGGACAAAAGCTGAAAACTGCGTTTAGTCAAGTCATTGTGTCCACTCTCCCACAAACATTGGAGGGGTGGTTCTGTCCATTGGTTGACCAGAACCAATGGTGGAAATTCCACATTCCTATGCCAGGGGATCAGTCTGAAGATGTCAACCACTTGTGACTAAATGGGCAAAATGTTGATATTCACTTACAGGGATATTATAAACTGCATGCCTGTGATTGTTTCTTGGTTATAACATGAAGGTATATTAATACACATAAACACTGTCTGAGCTACATTTATTATCCCTCCCATCTCATTACACTGATTGAAATCACTTATTGGTAATTGCGATGTTAATGAGTTTGAATATCATAATGCATGCAGCTGTAGTATAGAAATTACCCCAGATGTAATAGCAATGGCATGGTTTTCGTAGGTGGCCAGGTGGTTTTGGGGTAACAGGAACCATGTGAAAGCCCTGAGCTGCTGCAATTTATTGAGTTGTGTGAAATGTATAGTTCAAAGGGTCTTATTGATGTATATGCTGCTACGGTGAATTATGGGGGATTAAAATAATTTTCTAATTTACTGACTGGCGTCTGCTTCGAAGGCACGAAGATTTTACCACCAAATGTATGTGATGAATTGTTGCGATTCAGGGGTTCTGTTTTAGATTCAAGGATCGATTGATTTTCTTTAACATTGTGGTGAATGGTAGGACCTCTCGTGGCTGCAAGGGAGACCCAGACCGATTCCATATAACACGTAAGAATGATACGCATAGATTGTTACAGATGTGCATTGAGGCATGAAATCAGAGGATCGATATTAACTTAATGAATCGATGCATTGGAACTCCCCAACCGTTTTACTCCGTAAAATCATTTAGATCCTTTGTTTAGATGCCCATGACCTGACACGGCATGGGGGAGGCCTTCATCCAGCAGTGGATTGAGAGAGGGTTGAAGGTGATTATGTATGAATGTTGAGCGTAAGATGTGTCACGTGAGATGTGTCACGTGAGATGTGTCACGGCGCTAGTTTCGTGTCGCCCGCAGTGCCTGGAGCGAGCCATGAAGTTTGCCTTCGAGGAGTTCCACCTTTGGTACCAGTTTGCTCTGTCACTGGCTGCTGCTGGCAAGGTGAGCACACGTCACCCACTCAGTGACTCATTCACTTACTCACGTCATCATCCCTCCTGTCACTCATTCACTTACTCATTCACTTACTCACGTCGTCATTCTCCCTGTCACTCATTCATTTACTCACATCGTCACCCTCCCATTCACTCATTCACTTACTCACGTTGTCATCCTCCCATTCAGTCATTCACTTACTCATTCACGTACTTAACTTTGTCCATGTCCATCTGACTGCTGTATCTTCGATGACCAAAATTCCCAACCCAAAAGATAATTTATCTTTTTTGTTGAACCCGTGCCTCAGCCTAGTCAGGAACTCTGTCCATATTCGGGTTTTTTTCCGTATCTTACGTTTTGTTTTATCTGACATGAATATTGGTATAAACAACAACAGCACCATTACATTTATAAAGCTCTTAACAGTCTCACTGCAATAGGTAGTAACTCTAAAACAAGATAAAATTAACAAATATGAATACACCTCATTGGTGATTAATTAAATGTGATGAAATCCCTATTGAACAGATGTCTTCAGGCATGATGATTTAAAAATTGGCAGTGCATCGGCGCAGATGCTACTGAGAGGTAAGGAGTTATAAACATTAGCAGCTGATGATGAAACGTTTCTCTATCCCGTGGTGTTAATAGTCAGTTATCTTGTAAATGGAGTAAAGTGAATGGAGTTGTTTACTCCATTCACATGACATTCAAAAATGGTAGTTCTTACTTGCTAAATATTTATATTTTTCTCAATCCATATCTGTAAGAGGGCCTCCTCCATGCTATGCGTGTCGTGGGAGTTTATTGACCATGTTTCACCGCAGTGGCCAGTGCAGATTGGTGAAGATGCCCAGCGTAGACGTGAGAGCGTTGAAGTGCGGTGTGAGGATGATGTTTTCTCCACTCCCCGCCGCTGCTGCCACCAAATGAACCTCATGGCGGGACACCGGAATCCCAAATAAACGGAAGTCAAACTCGTAATTTATTTTTGGCAACTCCGTCCCACCGCGCACATAAACGCCGCGACCCACCTGGCGCGGATCATTCTGTAGTCATGTCGTCCAAGCGCAGCGAGGACGAATGCGCAGAAGAGCTGAACAAGCGAATGCGCTCATTGCTCGGGTATGGGCAGGATCATAAGTCTTATCCAAAGCTGCTCAAACTGCCTACACAACTTAAGTCCTTTGTCATAACGTTATGCATAATACCAGGGGCGGTTTCTTCATTAGGGCGATTGGGCGACGCACCACCAATGTTATTCAACCACAGAGTCACGCTAGCCCTCACTGTGCCTCTGGATATAGTCCAATCAGCGTCATGCTACGTTCTGTGGAGTACCGCCTCTTTTTGGGCGATTTCCCTCCAGCTGAGAATCGCCCCGAGTGGCCCCATAGACTTACATTCAAAGATGTTTTTTTTCGAACGGGGGCGCTGCAATGCATTCTCTATGGCTTCCGGGAGGGCTCGCTCCAACGTGCTTACGTCATCATACGTGCTTACGTCATCATACGTAAGCACGTTTCATCCAACAATATAATTTGTCGCCACCTAGTGGAATCTTTAATAAAAGAAACTTGAGTGGTTTGTTTTAATAGTGAGTATAGAAACAAACAAGATGTATTGTAAGAGTCACTTTATTTTTCATTAATATTAAAGTGAAGTTGCCTTTACATGCTTAAGCTGTTAATTTATCCATTGCATGGGTGGACCTTATCCTTATCAATCATCCAGACATTTGCCCCGCCAGAGAGATTTTGCAGGAGCCGCCACTGCATAATACACAGTTAAACTGCTCTCTTATCTTAATTATTATTTGTGACCTACCAATGTCTGCAGGCAGGATCAATTGATGACGATCCTATTCCCTGTAGATAGTTAACAGATGAGATGCGTTTCACCATTAATTCATCCTGTTTGATGATACTTCTCTTGTCCGTATGCATCTGTGCGGATAGGTGTTTTTTTTGCGGTTAAGCCATAGTCCCCACATACCGCTCGTATCAGTGCGGATAAGAGGAGCGGCGACCCACTACTCTGTAGAGTAACATTGGTATAAACGCTTGTTACAATATGAACAACGCATTGAAAACGCGTACTATTTGATGTACTAAATTTTGATTTAAAGCTTTCATGACTGCAGGGATTCATATTCTTGGTTCTTTCGGTAAAGTCACGTAGACCGCCACTTTTTCAAATTTTCTTGCTGTGGATTTCACACCTGATGATGATTGCTTGTGTTGCAGTCGAAACGTCGTGAGAATTTTTATTGTTTTATATTTATATATTTTTATTATTTCCCTTCTATGTGACTTTACTGAAAGAACCAAGAATATTTGATGTACTCTTTACAGAGTGTGTTCACAAATCCACACTGAGAAACACGTTGATTGATAGAGGGGTGTATATTGTTTTTTCAATAGTGTATTTAAATAGAGGCACTGCAGGTAAGTAGTTTTCAGTTTTAAAGGCATAGTTTAACAAGACAACACTTGCCACCATCCTTCAAACCCATTGGTGAAAAAGAGCAAAGTTTTTGTTTACATTATCATATAATGTTTATGCGAGAGCCGGGGGCTTATGGGACCCCAGGGTCCCGCCTGCCGCTTTCTCGGTGTATTCTTCTTCTCCCGTGTGGCCGCAGTGGAAACCAACAGTTTTTGATACATGTCAGAGTTAAATGCTAAGTTTTTTCCCCCAATACAAGGAGGCAGTTGACTCTATGGGGTTGCAGTAATTCTGCCAGGATGTTGCATGGATGGCGCATTCGTCGATGATGCGTTTTATGGGTTGGACTCCACCGCAGTCGCAGTTCAGCGATTTTTTGATCTTCCATTTGTGGAAGGTGTACACGCAACTTCCACGTTGCGTCCCCCAGCGTGGTTTCGCAAAGAGAGAGGAGCCCGGTTCTTTCCACAGTCGGGTCTGGGATAAGGTTCGTATTGGTGACCATTTCCATAGCCGCCCACAATGTCGTTATTTCTGGCTGCTAGAGCGGAGGCACGCATCCAGATAGGTTTCCTGGATATCAGCCAATGGAGTGGGGCTTCTTGTTGTAGGCCTTGTTGGAGCAGGGAGAGACTTAGATGTCCATAATCTCGTGGTAGTCCCCGGTTATTGCGACATCACGTTGGATGTTGGCTGGGGCAATGTTCGCCATTGGACTTCAGCGCGGTGCTGCGCTGAATGGAGGTGTGGGGAAGGACAACAAACTAAACACAATAAAGCGGTTCTAAAGAAATGTGTTTGCAATGTAGATTTAAAAGTGACAGGTCCAGCGGCTTGGAAGGAAGAGCATTCCAGATGGCTGCAGAAGCGCATCTGAAAGCGCACGATGCAGTGACCGTCTTTGTTCGATGTGCGGTGTCGATTTTGTGGCATCGACGAGGTTTGTGTGAGAGATGGCACTCCACATTGTGTACTAATAGTAATTTATCGTTTCCTTTCCATCACCACCATCATCACACCAGCGTACGTTATTGCACCGCACATCACAGTGCATCATCACACATCGCTATCGTCGGACCACATGAGGCCGCCGGCGGCGGTGAGGTATTCTTCCGCAACATAGGCCCGGGTGAAAATGTTTAGCATGATAATGCGGACTCTTGAGTGCTCTCAAGTGTTATTTAATAATTTATTTACGTTGAAGACTGCGGCGGGCTCGTGCAACATCCGAGTTATTGACGTGCTTCTCCAGTGAAAATATGCACGCCCGCATCTTTGCAACAACAATCCCACGCTGTTGGCTGCATAAACATGTCAGTAAAAGTGTAACGAAGTATAATTCATCGACCGCAGGCTGTTTTCGAGGAAATGTCAACATTTAAGTCTATCACAGTTTTTTTCCTTCTTCTTCCTGCGTCCTTCCCCAGCGCAAATGCGGATGAATTATTTAACAGCCAAATGCATGCCTAGCTCTGACCGTTTGGGTGGGACATGCGGCTGTGTTTTTATTTGTGTCGGCAGTGCCTCGTGCATTCTGGCCATGGTGCCGTTTAACCTAATGCACTTGCACCTTGTCTTACAAAAAGAGGTGCGTGTGTGCACGCGCGTGCTTGCTCGCGCACACACACGCGCCCACATGCCTGCCCACCCACCCACCCGCCTGCACGCCTGTCCACCCACCCACCCGCCTGCCTGCCCATCCACCCGCCCGCCTGCCCATCCACCCACCCATCCGCCTGCACGCCTGTCCACCCGCCTGCCTGCGCACCCGCCTGCCCGCCAGTGCGCCAGCGCGCGCGTGCGCACACATCCGGAGAGGCAATTATGCGCGGCGTCTCGCCTGTGCGGGACTGATTGGCGCTGTACCCATGCCTCTCCCATTGGCCAAATTTTCCGCTCTCCGAGCTCACCATGTGACCAGTCCTGTGAGGCCACAGCTGCACTGCAGTAACTCTCCCTGCTCTGGCGGCAGCTGATGCGTCTCCCACGCCCTCCCTCTCGCTGTGATGCCCCCCCCCCACCCGCCATCTGAAAGCCGCATCTCCCGCCCCGGCTCTCCCTGTGACACCAGCTTTCACAATTCCACCCAATTTTCACCCTGCGTCTCTCGCCGTTCACACTCCCTTGTACCCCAAGCCTCTCATTCGCGTTACCACCCTCAAATTGGCTGCTGTTTTGTATCTACTTGTAAGCGTCGTGTCCTGGGATGTGTGTCCTGGGAAGTCCTTGTTTGATTTTCAACAGCAACATTGAATTCCATGTGGTTGTTCTATTTTTGCAACGAGTAATTTTAAACCTGCGTATAGCATGTGTGTACCTATTGCCATCGATAATGGTGCAAAGCGTAAGCATTTGTACCCGCTTGGAAATGTTTTTTTGTCATACAGAAACATCACGTGTTTAAGGGCATTTGATAAACCCGCCCCTTCAGTGTAGAGAATTCCCTACATTCTCAGCGCAGGACAAATTTACTGAACAGCCGCATAAACCATCCACTGCCCCCCACCGCCACGGCAACCGCAGGGAGGCTGTGACGGAGCATACTGTCGCTGCCT